GCGAGATACATACCCTAATGCGACAATCTGATTGGCGCGAGATACATACCCCAATGCGACAATCTGATGTGTACGAGATACATACCCTAATGTGGCAATCTGATGGGTGCGAGATACATACCCTAATGCGACAATCTGATTGGCGCGAGATACATACCCCAATGCGACAATCTGATGTGTACGAGATACATACCCTAATGTGGCAATCTGATGGGTGCGAGATACATACCCTAATGCGACAATCTGATTGGCGCGAGATACATACCCCAATGCGACAATCTGATGGGTGCGACATACATACCCCAATGCGGCAATCTGATGGGTGCGACATACATACCCCAATGCGGCAATCTGATGGGTGTGAGATACATACCCTAATGCGGCAATCTGATGGGTGCGAGATACATACCCTAATGCGACAATCTGATTGGCGCGAGATACATACCCCAATGCGACAATCTGATGTGTACGAGATACATACTCTAATGCGGCAATCTGATGTGTGCGAGATACATACCCTAATGCGACAATCTGATTGGCGCGAGATACATACCCTAATGCGGCGATCTGATGGGTACGAGATACATACCATTATGCGGCAATCTGATTGTCGGGAGATACATACCCTAATGCGGCAATCTGATGGGTACGAGACACATACCCTAATGCGGCAATCTAAGTGGTGCGAGATACATACCCTAACTTGGCAATCTGATGGGTACGACATAATACCCTAATGCAGCAATCTGATGGATACGAGATACATGCCCTAATGCAGCAATCTGATTAGCGCGAGGTACATACCCTATTGTGGCAATGTGATGGGTGCGAGGTACATACCCTAATGTGACAATCTGATCGACGCGAGATACATACCCTTATGCGGCTATCGGATTGGCGCGAGATACATACTTTAGTGCGGCGTTCTGATTGGTGCGAGATACATACCCTGGTGAGGTGATCTGATGGGTACGAGGTATATACATACTTTAATGATCTAATTGGTGCGAGAAGCAAACCACTTTTTTAAAGAAATAACTCAAAAATGGCCTTCTGCTAAGTTTTGGTAAATACATGTTCCTTGAATGCTAAATATTTCTGATAAGGAAACAATTTTGTCCAGCTTTAAAAAAAATGGAGACCATGCTCTTAAAATGGAAAAAAAGGCTCACAATAGTTAAATAATTATCTTGTTTATTGAAGTTCTTGCTTGTTGCTTGAAATTTATCTTTGCATAGTAATTTTAAAGAATTTAGTAGTCACATTGTATTTTGTTATCAGTTCTATACATGTTCAGTTAAATACAAACACCATTAATTAAGTTGTTCTGGCTTTTATATGGAGTGGATTTGTTAAATTGCTATTTACGTCTTTAGCTTGTGTGTGCTTTCGAAAGTCCTCACTCAGATAAGTACCAATAGTTTTGTTTACAAATTTTTGTCTTCATATTATAACCGCCCCCAAGTATACCCCCCACACACCCCCATTTGCCCCACCCCCTGATGATTTTACAATGTTTATGAAGAATCTTTTCTCGAAAGTCATGAAGTCCACCTAAATTGGTACTTCGGAAAGGAACGGGAAAAGGAAAAGAAAAAACTTAGCCCTTGAGTTTTATTGTAATTTCCTCGGTAACTTTCCTTGCTGCGCTTTTGACAAGGGCTATCTTTTCTTCTGTTACGTCATCCAAATCTTCTGCAAGTGAAAAGGGAGGCGCAGAGATGCACATTGGCTCGGAGGGAAAAGGAGAAGCCACGTTCTTGTTGTTTTTTCGTTCCATATCGTGAGAAAGGCATTTGATGGTAAAATGTCGACCAAATATTGTTTCAATCTTAGCATAAAGGGTTTTATTACCGGAAAAAGAGGGAAGATTGTCTAAACACGCGTTCGATTTATTTGTAAACATAATACCGGAAATCGCAATTGATTCTGTAGTGGACTTTGTTCCCGCCGAAGTATAATCGAACTTCGGTGACAAAGTTAGTATTGATTATCTGTTAATCCATACAGATTATGACATAACTTTTAGTTCTTCTCGTGAAATCATATGACATTCATTTGACAATCTGAACCTCGTATGGAAAGCGCATATATATATTTTTTTAAATCCGAGCTTTCGCCGTGCTTTTCAAGACTAAGCGCTAAGCGCTGGAAGACATCTGAGTGAAAGAGAAAGCTAATCAGTTAACGTACTGAAGGTTGATTTACCTGCCCGAAAAAGGATCTCTGTTGTCATTATTCGTAAATGTTTCCCTAAGATCCACTGATGAGGATCTAAATTTATTCCATTAGGTGTAAATGAAACGTTTCCGAAAGTGCTTTGCTTACTGGTAATCAGATTAATGAGACAACCAGATGTTGGAATGCTTTGATCTTATGTTCACTTGATCATGAGAGAGTTGTGGTGTCTCGATATAGCATATTGCGAAAAAATATTGAACAAGATAAAGACAAAGTCCTGAGAAATGTTATCTGATATTGGGTAAATTAACCAAGTCATTTATGAACAGTAATAATGGTGATTTTGAATTCTGATGCACACCTGAAATATATAGATTGGTAGGGCTCTCAATTCAGATATCCAATGTCTGTGTGGCTTTTCCCCCAAACATAATAATATTAATACTCACAAAATATGTATTTGTTCTTTATGGTTTTGAGTTACACATTTAAGGATGAAAAAAACCTTAAAGGGAATTAAATTAGAATTTTTCTCTTGGGTTTCTAGAAATCTATGTGTCAATCAATCTTAAGCTTCAACGTCCCTTCTTTCCCTCTTAAGGTAATCGATCTATTGAAGATTGGCTTGTGGGGCAAAGGTGCTTTCAAATTCCCCAGCCAATGATCCAAGATTCTTTGTGTGATTAACAATAATTGTTTATTGTTGTAGAAATTAGCAAAGTCACATGTTAGCGCTGCCTCACCCCACCCAGACAAGATTCAAATTCCCTATTCCCCTGGGCACAGCCAACAGTCAAATGCCCTTGGGTTTCCCAGGGTGGGGGGGATTGTTGAAACTTCAAAAATATCTGTAATGTATTACCTATTACATACAGATTAATAGTTTCACAATTTTTAAGAATTACAGTAAATAAGTATTGTACATGTGAAATGTGAAAAGCGTATTAGACAGAATATATTTTATTCAATTGATGTTGTTGATTCCTTAGA